GGGCCGGGGGCAAGGAAATGTACTAAAACCACTAATTCTGTTTTGTGATTGGCGCGGTTTAATCAAAGAATCGCCCCGTTGAACCAGAGCCTTCGCGACATTTCAATTTATTATTTCCTGTCGAAGGCTCTGGAATCCAGGGTAGCCTAACCAGGAACAGAAGCAAAAAATGCAACTTTAGGACACTGGCTGTGAGAATCCTGCAGCATCCAGCAGGATACTAGTAACTAAAATCTGGTATCCACCCTTCTAATCTAGTATCGCACATTTGCAAAACATCTTTTCGTTCACAAGCATTACCCATGGAAAGGATTTTTTCAAGCCCTTTTAAATTTTCGACAATGCTTTGTTTCTTCATACTTTGCTTGGCTTTGGAACTTTTTTGAGCATATCTTTCCTGCTCAGTCAAATTAATTCGATCACTTTCACTTTGTTTATCTTGTTGTATTATTCTGGAGGGTATTTTGTCAAGAAATATCAGCTGTGGACAGAACTTTTTCCAGTATCTCTCGGGTACTGAGCTTGTGGTTTCCAGTATCCAAATTTAAAATCTGGTATTGCCGGGATATCACAAATTTGAAGCCCTGCATGGGGACTGGGTGTTGCATATTTTTCGGCAATACCACTGTCACAAGGTAGTATATTGCATTCTAAAAACTAAAGGGCTAAAATTGTAGTCGTCACTTGTCACTAAAATACAATAAATCCTCCCCCTCCTACCTATATGTAAAGTATATTTCTGTCAATTTCTGTGCATTACCGTATTCATACTTTAAAACACACAACTCACGAAGCTTCGAAATAATGCAAATGCTCAACAAAAAGTGTGAGTAATCGACAAAAAGTTTGAATAATTTAATGAAGAAATGAGATGGTTTGGATATTTGATGTAATTGATGATATAATGAATAGGGAGGGGGTTGTTTGCAGGTTATCTGCAAAAGGGGGAAGATCGAGAGGAATACAAAGGATAAGATGGAATTAAGATTATGGAAGAGTTTGGACTTACAGAAGATGATATAAGACATCAAATTGTAAATATGATGATAAGAGGAAAAAACATGTAAAATTTTGTGCAAGTATTTATCTATCTATCTATCTAGTATTAATTTACCACAATGGAATGAACAGCGCCAATTCTTGCACACGCCAACATCGCAATCACCAGTTCAATAATCATCGGGAGGTAAATGGCAACCCTGTCACCTTTTTTCACTCCTAAACATGTTCAAAACACAAGCCTCATATTGTACATGTGTTCATCTGATGTACATAATGCCAAATAACCACCATATCTCAACAGCTCATGCCCCCACAGAGGAAACTTCTGCCGTCCAGTGGGGGAGGACAGAAAAAATTGTTTCTGATAATAGTATTTAAGTGTATTAGAACATCCAAAGGGGGTAGGAAGGTTAACTTCCAATTTCCTCCGTGGGGAAGGCGTGGATATTTTCTGAGCCAATACCCACCTTTTGCCTTGAGAACATTTGCAAACTTGCAAACTTCGACCAATAACTGTCCATATGTGATCTCGTTGCAATCTCCTGGGTAATTGCCTTCCCTGGTAGAGATAACGACAACATGTAAACATTCTGTCGAAGTTTAGCATAGAAATATTTTTTTTGATAAGTCAGACAAAAGACAAAAAAGTCTGGCAAATTTCTTCCTCCCCCCCCCCCCCCCCCTCCCATACGCCTATGTGTTGTTAGTTTGCATTTCGTACGTTTGAACTGGTACCTGGCGCCGCCTTGCCCAAAGATGGCATTAGGGGCAATCATATTCACATTTATATATTCAAGTTGAAATGTCAATTGACAAATCTGGCCGTACAACCCAGACTATATTTTATGCTGTGTGCACGAAAGGTCCTGTGCATGCATTTTCTATTTCAAAAGCAAAATCCCCAGTTATAAAACAATACGAGATTCACTGTTCAAGAATATTAAATGTCATTCTGGAATAATGTCCCCTCATAAAACTTTCCTCATTCACAATTTTTGTCGTATTTATTTTGTCATATAATCGCAATTTCAGGTGTTAAATGGTTCCTGGAATGGTTGAATTCGATGTTGTGAAAAGCGAACCATTTATATCGTGTATAATCTGGGTACTTATGTAATTATAGGTAAATTCCCTTATCTTCCAACGCATTATGCTGTTGAACTAATATTGAACTATTGCCGCCACATTTGATTAAAAAATATTACACAATTTGCAATATAAAACTAATTCACTTTGTTGCAAAAGGCATATATCCAAAGCCTTGCAAATTATACAGGAAATAAATCCTTTAACAACCTCATCGTATTACTGTATTAAATATATTTACAAACGTACAGTACACTATCTTTGTGCAACGAAGCATACTCACCAATAAAAGGCAACCGTATTCTCGCCATTTTGATCTTTGACAATCCTATCTAGGACATTATAACAAATATTAGTCTGTGCGCCTTCCATCCACTTGACAAAAATAGGTCCATCTTCCACATTAAAGTTGTAGGACAAGAACGAAGTCGGAGGTTTGTGCCAATGGAACTGTTCTGCAATCTCTTGCCAAAATGCCTCGGGGTTTTCGACGGAGCGTTTGTACATTTCTTGATATTGCTCCATGCTCGACACATGGCCCTCGGCAGTAATTCTGTTATCTGGCAAGACGATGCCATGCAATTCTTTCTCACTGTGTTCAAATAAAACATGGTCAGAAAGTTGATGTCTTTGTGCAGGGACTGCCATGTTGGCCAACTCGTCGGCTTTTATCGTAAACAGTCGAAAGTCGCCGAGGTTGGACCGTCGGCTGCATCTACCCATGGACATGGTTTGATCTCACAAGTTGTAACAAACCTGCATCAGACTTGTAGCAATGCTGTTCCAACAACTTGTCAACAGGATGTGTTCGCACTGCTTGTTCCCAGCTTGTTGCGAACAAGTTCTCAACGGCTTGTTGGCAACTTGCTACAAGTTGTTGAGCTCAACAGACTTGTTACAAGTTGTTCCAACAACTTGTTATCGTCGGTCCTACAATTCAACAAGTTGTTAACAAGTGAGTGAGATACCAACAAAATCTTGATATATATATTCTCTTGTAAACTCAACATTCGTGCTGTTTTGAAACAAGACAACACAATTCTAGGAAATATTTCGACTTTATTTCTAATATGATCGATGGCCTCAGTCTTTACCACTATACCATGATGGCAACGACGCAAATAGCTAACAGATTACAATACTTCAATATTCTCTGTTTTGCGTTGTACTAGCTGTATGCAGATTTTTTGGATTTCACCCTACACAAGAATTCTTTTCATCCTTATACATCTTAGTTCATCTCTCGTCATCCTTGGTTAAATCGACTTCAAATTGCCCAAATATACAAAATATTATCAAAATAGAATTGTTCAGCTGTTAGGAGGAGCGATTTAGAAACTTTTTGCAAAAATAATGGCAAAAAGAAATAAAGAAAAAATTACACGAGAGTATTACCTGGGAACGGTCCACAACTTTCGCTCACGATGGCCTCAGTCTTTACCACTATACCATGATGGCAACGATGCAAATAGCTAACATATTACAATACTTCAATATTATCTGTTTTGCGTTGTACCAGCTGTATGTAGATTTTTGGGATTTCACCCTACACAAGAATTCTTTTCATCCTTATACATCTTAGTTCATCTCTCGTCATCCTTGGTTAAATCGACTTCAAATTGCCCAAACATACAAAATATTATCAAAATAGAATTGTTCAGCTGTTAGGAGGAGCGATTTAGAAACTTTTTGCAAAAATAATGGCAAAAAGAAATAAAGAAAAAATTACACGAGAGTATTACCTGGGAACGGTCCACAACTTTCGCTCACGATGGCCTGAGACTTTACCACTATACCATGATGGCAACGATGCAAATAGCTAACATATTACAATACTTCAATATTCTCTGTTTTGCGTTGTACTAGCTGTATGTAGATTTTTTGGATTTCACCCTACACAAGAATTCTTTTCATCCTTATACATCTTAGTTCATCTCTCGTCATCCTTGGTTAAATCGACTTCAAATTGCGCAAATATACAAAATATTATCAAAATAGAATTGTTCAGCTGTTAGGAGGAGCGATTTAGAAACTGTTTGGAAAAATAATGGCAAAAATAAATAAAGATAAAATTATACGAGAGTTTTACCTGGGAACGGTCCACAACTTTCGCTCACGATGGCCTCAGTCTTTACCACTATACCATGATGGCAACGATGCAAATAGCTAACATATTACAATACTTCAATATTCTCTGTTTTGCGTTGTACTAGCTGTATGTAGATTTTTTGGATTTCACCCTACACAAGAATTCTTTTCATCCTTATACATCTTAGTTCATCTCTCGTCATCCTAATTGGTTAAATCGACTTCAAATTGCCCAAATATACAAAATATTATCAAAATAGAATTGTTCAGCTGTTAGGAGGAGCGATTTAGAAACTGTTTGGAAAAATAATGGCAAAAATAAATAAAGATAAAATTATACGAGAGTTTTACCTGGGAACGGTCCACAACTTTCGCTCACGATGGCCTCAGTCTTTACCACTATACCATGATGGCAACGATGCAAATAGCTAACATATTACAATACTTCAATATTCTCTGTTTTGCGTTGTACTAGCTGTATGTAGATTTTTTGGATTTCACCCTACACAAGAATTCTTTTCATCCTTATACATCTTAGTTATCCTTGGTTAAATCGACAAGTCTGGAACAAATTGTTCTCATCTTGTAACGAGGTTGAGGAGGCCAGCAGACTCGCAACACGTTATTCTAACAAGTCTGATATCGTCTGCACGTAACAAGTTGTTAACAAGTTGATGACAACAACCTTGCAGCAACTTATTACGAACAGCCTGTATTAGTCTTGTTGGAACAACTTGTAGCAAGTCTGTTACCGTCATCAACCTTGTAACAAGATGATAACAACTTAATTGTTCCAGATTTGTCACAACAACTGGGAACAAGTAGTGAGAACAACATTCTGATATCGGCTTGACAACAACCTTGTAACAACTTGTGTAACACTGTACAACAATACTGTACGACAAGGATATTGGAATCCCATCTCTTGAAGAGCTAGGGTTAATACGAAGTAAAACATGACAAAATAAACAGTGGTAGTAAAAATTATTTTTAATCATTTGCTGAAGAAACCATCGTTAAAACTATGGCATACAAGAACATTTCCATCTTGGAACGCGAGCGTCCATTACCCAACCACAACAGTTCTCTTTAAATTATGAAAACATATTTTACATGTGGCGCTTATATTAAACGTTGTTACAAACCAATAGACAATATTTTCCACAAACTAAATGACATAAATGCTTTAATAACTTTATGGATGAAAATTTTCACCATCACAATCAAGTTTTAAAACCTTTAGAAATTTAGTTTGGTTAATATTTTATATATTCTATACAAGCTAATACAACAATTATTGTATACTCTAAAAAGCGAGTGTATCGCCAAAAACTATTGAAGGCTGCATCCGTCAAAGCTTTTTCATATGCACACACACACGGAAAAGTTTAAATCTACTTAAATGTTACTTATGAAATGACTAAATGACAGCATTTAGCTTTGTGCATGATTGAATTAATGTATATTTACTGAGGAAATTAGTAAAATTTAAAAAGATTTTAAACTTTTCTGTGCGCCTTCGTACGTATGAAAAAAGGGGCAACGAATGCAGCCTTGACATTAGTTTGAAAGCACACTATAAAATTATTTTACCAAACTTTTGCCACAAATAAAATTTATTCCAAAATTACTTGAAATTTAAACTATTTTATGCGAACTACTTTGCACATAAAATAATTAAAACTTTTCATAGTTGTCATAAATGAAATGAAAAATTCTATATATGCATGACCGCTCATTGGTTGCTTTGGCTCAACGAAGCTCTGTCATTGGCGAATGAGACACTACATTAGCCAATGAAAGATAACATTTTACCAAGGCTTTGTATGACGTAATATATCAAGTGATCGACAAAAAAACGGCATAAGAACGTCAGGCAAGATGGAACAGTTTTGAACTTTGAAAAAGACGTTAAAATGCCGTTTCAAAAAGCACGAAATCATTGTTCCCGCATTTTGCCATACGGTCAACAAACGATAAATTACCGAAGGACTTCGAAGTCCAGTCAGCACAATCAACAAAAAAGGCCAACAATGGTCAATTTAAAGTTTGTCTCTCGTACAACAGAATGGCGGCAACATTTCTTTACGACATCCTATGTGTCCCTCAAAGATACATATTATCCCCTATTAACCACGATTAACCTCCAGCAAGTTAAACTAAGACTAAGAACTAATGAATGACTAATATTATGATTCAAATGTATTAATAAATTATACAAATTTATCACCGAAGTTAGGGTTCCGATTGAACGATTGTCAATGTTAGATATTTTCGGATATTGGCCGATAGAAAATGTTATGAAAATTTGGAAACGTAAAATTTTACACGAATTTGTGCCTTGGGGGTAATTCAACTCCAAAATGTATTGTGTAAACTAAATTGTCAAACTCATTCATAGTTCATGAAGAAAACACAAACGAAATCATCTCACCATATTTCAATGTTCTCGTCAAGACGTTTCACAAGCCATTTAACATTCGCGTCCATGTTGTATAACATGAAGTTTTTCCACTTTAATTTATCCGTCTTTTTTGATGACAAAATACATTTTGCAGAAAAATTACCCCAAACCATTACGGTATTGGCAAAGCGGCAAATACCTAAATATTCTTTTAATTAGTTTACCTTAGTCTATCACCGTAGAATAAAGTACATCAGCTATTAAACTTTGAAAAATTATAAAACAATGTAATTCGTAATTTTAAGCCGCAGAGAGGTGACCTCCATATTTATATCTGGAGCGAGAATTCGAGTTCAAACAGTGAGGACAAAGATTGAGGTATTGGTCCCGTTCCGTTGTACTTTTGTCTGCGCGGTCTGCAAGCAGTATTTGGTATTTTTATCTCAAAAACTCAATAATTCACGAGGAAAATACAAAAGAAATCACTACCGTCGGTGGTTTTATTTGTGATAAAAAATCATGTTCATTTACATAAACTTTAGCTTTGATTTTCTCTGCTTAGACAACGTTTAGTTTTAAAATTCCTTCGCCAATGAACTCATGAAATGGGTCGTTTTTTAAGCCATTTAAAACTCGCACTCCGTGCTTTATCAGATATAAAACACTCCAGCTGCGCTCTCGTGTTTTATATCAGATAAAGCACTCTGCTCGTGTTTTAAATAGTACTTCGATTCAAAGAATAAACACTATGGTTTTATGAAGTGATAACATGATTAGCGATACGGTTTGTCAGGAAAAACCTGAATTAGCTGAGAAAATGGTATTTAAACTGTTCACGATCTTCATAGATTTTGGACGTCCGCCATTTTGGTTTCAGTTTTCTTATAGACCGAATGACTGAGGTTCTCGCACCAGATATAAAAAGAAGAAAGGTTTTCTAACAAATAACAAATTCAAAATATCCCCCACGCCACGGTGATCTAGCTATAATGCGATCTAGGCTCAAAATGAGAAAAGTTTCTCCTAAAAATATCGCCTTCCCTAAAATGCCCTTAAAATATGGCAAGAAAACAGGACACAATACTATATAATACAATGTGCAGGTGCCTCAAAACGACCACATGAAAATTTCATGTCTAGTGAAAATGAAAGGAACAGATAACATGAACTGAAATCACGGGTTCCCCCCTGAATTATACTAATTTCGACGCCTCGGTTGATGTTATCTAATGCCTTTCATTTGCTTACACTATACATGAAATTTTCACTCCACCAACAGTCTAGGAGTTGAAATACTTGCGCTGATAAAATTGCTTATAAAGATAAAGTAACGGTAGATTTTAGAATGATAATTTGCTTCGAACATTCGATATTCTTGAATTTTCAACAAAAATGTTATTTAAGTCATACGAGAAAAGTATTTCAAATTTACAAGCTCTCAACTCCTAACCAACCCGTTCGCAGGCATCAAGGCGCTGCATGCATCCACTGCACTCCCTCAAATCTAATAATATACGAAAATTTCGATATACGTTCATGACACTGTACAAGCCTCAAAAATCAACTAGGATCACACGTCAATTGCTAACGACTAAATCTAACCGCAAAAGAATCAATTTTTTGTCTAACATCGCAAAGGCCACAAGCGCAGGAATTTGTCCCCAAAACCATTAGGATTAGTGTCGTTTCCACGATAGAGTTTGAAAGTACATTTCGAATTTGAAAACGACGTCTGGATTTCAAAACAAAGCAGCGAATTTTAACTACTAAGTTTTACAAAATGTCCATGCGTACGACAGAAATACCTTTGGGCGAGGAGGGGCTAAATTCCTGAGGATGTTGTGACAGCAAATTGATTCGTGCTCTACATGTATATATCAAACTAGCTAGTATATAATTACAGTTGAGATGATCTCCCGTTTTTAATACGCTTACCGCAATTTTGACCGCATAATGAGACAGATACCTTCAATATGAGCTTTACGACATTTCAATGCGGTCATTTGTAGGACAATATGATCGCATGTAAAATGCACGCTGACTCATAAAGATTGGTATCTGCTAAAAACGATTACCTTCCATTAATAATGCAATATTTACCCAACCACACAAAACCACGCCATGTGAATCTCACTCCTCTGAACCGCTGACAATCGTCACACAAAGGGCACGTGATGTAGCGAGCGAAGAAAGCTCTGCTTTCAATAAAGTGAAAAATTGATGAGCTACCGTGATGGCACCTCGCAACGCAATTTTGGACACAGAGTCGTGACGTTTACACTCTCAAAGTTTCTGTGAGCACAGTCGAAATTTTGCATTGGTAAATTCTAAGTTTTGAAGTAATTTTTCAAATCCGAACATTAGGACTGGACTAGATTTCAAGTCGCGCAAGTTGATCAACTCCGAGGCGAAGCCGACGACTGGATCAAACTGCGAGTCCAGTCCGAATTGGAGGATTTGAAATGGCATCTCGTACGAATAAATAACTATAATATAAAGTGAGGTGAATTAATTTTGATCCAGTCCAAGGACTGTGTTAATTTTGATCCAGCCCTAGCACTGGATCAATATACTTCATCAGGTATCCAGTATTAACATGTGAGCAAAATAAAGCAATATGGTTGGCTAATTTACTCATGGATTATTAATGAGTCCGAGATGGATTTGTAAGAATTGTTTGAGAAAACTGACTTAGAATTAAACAATGAGTCCATTCCCATTTCTTACAAACCTTCAAAACTTAGAATTTACCAATATGCAAAATTCCTACTGTGATCACTGAAACTTGGATAGTGTAAACCAGCCTTAGAGATCTTTGCATAGAAATGCAAGAGAGAACTGCACTTTTGCTTAGATGTGACATCGCCTAGCTAACATAAATAAGTGTCAGAAATTTTCAGTTAAAATTGATTAGTTGAGATGGCCTTTTGCTGTGAGATTGGTATCAAGAACTACGTGTGATTGATTGGCAGCATTCAAAAAGTGGAATGTGATTCATCTGCTAAGTCGTTTGCGTTTGGGATGAACTCCGGGACCATACCTGTTTGGGTCACTGCGTTTTCTCACAATAATCTTGGCTTTGTTTCCAGCACCAGTGATGACTATCCTTTTGCTCATCATCTCATCACCGCCATCCTCCCCTTGCTCTTCCAATTTACCATCGACATCGACTTCCACGTCTTTCTCGTCCCCTTCATCGGACGTTGTTACGGTAACCTGCTCACGTGATACTTCCGGTGCTGCCATGGTGACATCACGTCTTGTGTCATAGTACTCTGACGTAATCATGGGTGCGATGCCGTTTTGGACTAGGGCCGAATGGTGAATGGCTTGACTGGGATAACCGTAGATATATGTGGGTTCGGGCCGATACACCTGTGGGACTGTACTACGATCACGTGTAATAACAGGAACACCGCATGTGACAGGCACGTGAAGAATTCGGCCAGGAGCGTCGATAACGGAGACCTTTTCAACGCTATCACGTAAACCAGGGCCTTGTTCCTTTGGGTTGCCAAAATCATTGGGCATTTCTCCCAGAGAGCTTCGTCGGCACGAGTAGTCAAAGTCTCTCCTTGCGTCACATTCTAGACCTTGGATACGATCTAGGAGATTCTTGAACTTTCCTTTCCAAAGCAAAACCTCTTTCTGTAGGTCTGCAATGAGGTATTTTTCTTTGACATGACTTTGAACCTGATCCAACCATTTCTTCTCCATTCCGTCACGCTCGTCCTCGACGTCACGAAGCCGTCTTTTCAAGTTGTCCATCTCATACTCGCGTTCACCAGCCTGTGGGGGATAAAACAACAACATCTTATATCGAGCCGTACGAAATCATGAAATTCAAATTCAATTTTATCTCAGTCGTAGCCGGATTTTGAGGGGAGATGAGCACATTTTGTCTTGTTCAAATTCATGTTGTTATTAATTCTAATGTGTGTCCCTGTGTTGGTTTTGTTAAGGTTCATTTACTTCATTATAGGCTAATTTCCACTCGTTGGAACTAACGACTTTAGCACTATGTAAACTAAGGACTTTAGCACTATGTAACTTTCCTTTCCGCTCCTATCCTGCGGAGAGTTTTCCTGGGTGCAAACTGGCCTTTTTATATTACTAAAGATCTAATGAAGAATGTGTCATCTTCGTTTTATAAGGGCTGCTGTAATTGGCGTAAGCTGTAGCATATACACATAGATATATTATATAAACTAGATAGCGCATCTCTTTTAGTAAAATTGAAGCCAAGAATATTCCAGCGGTTACCCCCATTTGAATAGATGGCGACCATGTTGGAGTTTCCCACTCGCTAATAACTTTCATCATTTGAATAGTTTGAAAGTGTATTTGGAATAGGTTTAACTTAATGTTTAAGTTCCCTGTTTAAGAAATAGAAAACATACGAGTCTTCTCATTTCATGGGAATATCCTGAGTCTGCAATCACGGCTTCAATTTTTGAATTGCAGAATAATTAGATGCACTATGAGATATCTATGCATATACCCTGCTATGATTGATAGGTTGTATATTCTTGTGTTTGCATTTGTGCAGATTGTGTGAAATTGGCAAAGCATAATAAATAAATAAATAACTAAATCAACATTCCCTGAGATTTTTTGCACCTCTCCTTGGCAAAGGTTAAATGAAAGATCAAAATTTAAATGAGACAATTTTTTATGTCCTGCTTAGGGTCTACACTTTGTAAGAAAGTTTTTCTGTGAAATCAAAACAGTGATAGCCATTTATCTCCGTGTCACGTATCCTTTAATGCAACGTTTCAAAACAAAATTTGTAACAATGTAATGAAGGGCAAAATTGGATGTGTCGTACAGTCATAATTCATAAATACACTGATACATATATGTATAGTAGACATGCATACGTCACGTCGTTGCCTTTAGGGGTGGGGTGGGGGTACGTTCTAAGCCCTGCCATTCCATGGGGGCCATGACCAACCATTTCCACCAAAATGCAGTCCTGATCTCAGCTTTATAATAGTTCAATGGAACAAAGTTCAATGGAGAAACTAGAAAGGCACTTAAAAGTTCTTGATACAATATTGCTTAAACTGAAAATATAAATCTTAGCCTGTGTTAGTGTCGGATAATATGCAATAAAACACCACTTTATTGTAAAACAACACTTCTCCCGTTTACAATTATGACGCCATAGCCCCCTCGGGAAATTTTGCGCGGGGTATTACCTTCTGCCGGTTGTATTCCTGAAAGTGTGTTCCATTGTAATGTTTGGCAACGACAAAAATTCAAAAACAAATTTCTTTTTCCCTCTATTTTGAGCAGTCCTTCCCATTGTGAAATTGGCATTTGACTATGCGGTTAACACTAGATTTTGTTTTAATTAGTAATTTATATGTTTTTGTGTTCACATTTACAGTTATAAAAAAGTTCTAAAAGTAAAAAGTTTTTTACTCTTGATATATACAAGGTTGCGTGAGTTTTTGCGAGGCATGGCGGATGTCCGGGGGGAGGGGTCACTAATTCGGACAATGCCGGACAAGGGGGGTCTGAAAATCCATCATTTGGCCGGACATCCTTTGTGAATGGCCCCTTATCAAGTTGTTGTTGAATTGCAGGATGATAACAAGTTGATGGAACAACTTGTAACAAGTCTGTTGAGCTCGATAACCTTGTAGCAAGTTGTCAACAAGCCGTCGAGAACTTGTCAACAAGCTGGGAACAAGCAGTGCGAACACATCCTAGGATGTTGACAAGTTGTTGGAACAGCATTGCTACAAGTCTGCTGCAAGTTTGTTACAACTTGTGCGTTTTGATGCGTGTATGTGAAAAGAGTCAGTCAAAGCCTTCACGATTTCCTATGGGTAAGAGATAGAAATTGATATGGTGGCATACTGCCCATTATAGCGATTTTTCTAAAATTGTCCCTTGATTGGTATAACACAGATTAAAACTTTACCATTTATAAATTAAAGTCTCGTTTTATTTATTGCGAATTCATATCTGTAGTTTTATAGCTTTACTATTCTTGGTGAGGAGGAAAACCGGACAACCAGAAAAAATATTCTTCCTTCTCACCTTCAATTGTTGATAATCTCTTGGCTGTGTTAATTTTTGCCTTTCGTTTATCCAAGATCATGCGATACTTCTGCTTCGCCTCCTGTAGACTCACTTCTCCACGCTCGACCTTACACATAATGTCATATGTGTATTCTTCATTGCCACGATCAACAAATTGAAAGATGCTTTGTTTCACGGGAAGACCTTTACTCATATCTTTGAGAAGACCAAGCCTACGAAAGACAATGTTTTATTAATGTAATACTTACAAGATTCAAATGTTACTATAGAAGAAAACTAGCTATCCTGTATGCATTTAAAGTCCTGTAGTAACACTGGATCAATAGAGAGAACAATTTAGAACTAATAGAGCTATCCAGTATAAATAAAGTTAGCTTAGTTTAGGTTTCCTCCTGTAGTAACACTGGATCAATAAGAGATGCTCCTTACTGGACCTCTATAGAGAGAACAGTTTAGAATTAATAGAGCTATCCAGTATAAATAAAGTTAGTTTAGTTTACTTTTCCTCCTGTAGTAACACTGGATCATTTAAGAGATTATCCTTACTGGACCTCTAGGAAGAACAGTTTAGAACTGATAGAACTATCCAGCACAATAAAGTTAGTTTAATTTAGGTTTCCTCCTGTAGTAACACTGGATCTATGAGAAATTATCATCACTGGACCTCTATAAGGAGAGAGCTAACTGATAAGTTTAGTGAAAATATAGAGCGCAAAGAGGCCAACCTGTATTTCTCCATGATCGAGACAGCTCGTTCCCAGCAACGGTTACTCATTTTGGCCACAGCATAATAATGACACAACAACTGGCTCATATCACGGTTGCCATCCTTCAACCAGCTTCGAAACTTCACAGCATAATACTGCCTCAGTTTCCGCATCTCTTCTCGGGGAGGCTCGTCTAAGCCTTCCCTTTTCCCGCCAAACTCGTACAGCTTGCGCCGCATTTCCTTGACTGTGGGCTCAAAGTCTGGCGGCCAAGGACTGTCGTTAATGATGTTTTTACCAGATGGAACGTACACCTCATTTTTCACTTCAGTCTAAGAAAGGAACAACATTTGTCTTAAACAATGAATTTTACACTTTGCTTTCATTTCATTTCAATAAAAATATCATTACAATATCGGACCTCTAGGGAGAACAGTTCAGAACGGATAGAGCTATCCAGTATAAATAAAGTTAGTTCGGTATAGTAGTAACACTGGATCAATAAGGGATGATCCTTATTGGACATCTAGGAAGAACAGTTTAGAACTAATAGCAAATAGAGCTATCCAGTATAAATAAAGTTAGTTCGGTTTAGTAGTAACACTGTCACTGAATCAATAAGGGATGATCCTTACTGGACCTCTAGGAAGAACGGTTTAGAACTGATAGAGCTATCCAGTCCTGTGCCTTTCTCACAACGAGGCGAAAAAATAAAATAAAAGAACAGCGCATTAAACTCTGGTCAGATGAGATCAAAAAGACAAACACAGATTGTAAAAGGTTCATACCACTTTACCAGCAACATCAGAAATATACAAAACATTATTCAATTCAAAATCCATAACAAATTTCCCATATAACTAAAACTTAACTTTTCAGATCTAAGTATCTAACGGCTTCTCGTGAGATCATTAGAAGAAGCTAACGGCTAAACTATACTAGGCGTAATAAAAAAACAGCGCAAGATGAAAGAGTGTTTCATTCAGTTGTCAACCCTGTCAGAGATATTGTTCGGTTCCTGTATATTGTGGGGAAAACAGGATTTGCACTTGAGAATTTCAAGTGCCTAAAGTGGAAACATCCGTGTTTAACACATTTAAAAAGTTGGACGCTTGAAAACCAACTGTAGTTAAAAACATGTTAGCCATTTTGAATTTATTTTTGTACAAATTCGCTTGGTGTTAGGCTCCCCTCTTCTTTCACACATTGTACCAACTTGAGGAAACCTCATCAGCTAAAATATATTTGTTAATACCGCCACGAGGTTTGAATTTCATCGAACGTATTAATCCAAACATTTGTGGCAATTCTTGACCTTGCCACGAGGACAAATTGATTACATTTCGGTCAAATTTGGACGGAAATTGGATGAGGAATTAGTAAAAGTAAATATGCATGAATGAATGCTCCTAAAAACACGGATTGTGGGTCAATCAATGAAAATATATTGATATACGGCTAGATATTTAATTACTCTTCTATATTATTTTAAATTTTTCACAATAATTTTATTTAGTTAAGCTACGCAAATTTTTGAAAAGCAATTCCCACGCCTACAGGCAAGTGGACTGCCAGGATTCGAAGACGTTGACGATAGAGCGAAGCTAATTAAGACACTCATTCATGAGATTGCATGATTCTACGACTGGCAATGCGGAATTTTGCTGTGAATTGATAAAAGAGCGTAAAGTTAAACTCGAATATCGCGTTAAAGACACTTGTGCGAGATCTCATTAGTTCTATTTGCGTTTTTCCGGAGCAAATACACGTAATCATCCACTTTTCCGGCAACTAAACAAAGACTGTTTTTAAACAACTCAAACGCAGGTTTATATTAGCAATTATTTCACAACCACGCTTTCGAGAGGAAACAAGATTCCACAAATATAACGAGTCGACGTTTTTGAATCTCTTTAGAAAGTTAATTCCCCAATGGAATGGAATTCACAAGGAATGCATTTACAATTTACTGTATATAAGCGCTCTGGTGGGGGTCGAGCCTGCAGTCTTACAGAGACCAGTTGCTTATTACAGCTGACCACAATCCATAATTCTACAGGCAGAATGACTCAGAATCATGCGCAAACCCGCCCGGAACACATGCGTTCCCCAGAGTTGATGAGGGAAGGTTTTACAGAGATCAGTTCTAAGAGCTGACCACAATCCATAATTCCACAGGAAGAATAACTCAAAATCGTGCGCAAATCCGCCCGGAACACATGCGTTCCCCAGAGTGGATGAGGGAAAGTCTTACAGATATCAGTTCTAAGAGCTCTGACCACAATCGTGCGCAAATCCGCCCGGCCCACAGGGCGCCCCTCACACGGTTAACTGCACTCAATTCCGTTTACTTTCATGCGTTCCCTGCAGGACCATGAGAACGAGGGGAGTTGGCAAGCACGAGAGAGCGCATACCCCACGGTCGAACTAAAGTTGCATGACAGTTGATTGAATATCACCCATCAAACCCTGAAGGATGTATTTCTCCAAAAATCCTCGTACACTTCCAAACAAATCTCGAAATCCTGCCAATGGGCTGTATTACAGTGTACGAAGATTTTTGTACGAAGATTTTTGGGATTTCAAAATCCCTGTAGTATTATTCAGGGATTTTTTGCAAAATTTTCCGAGGATTTTAAAGGATATTTTAGCTCGATTTTCGGGATTTTGATGCATTTCTGTTGGGATGACGAGGGATTTGGACTAAATTTTTTTACTAAAATTTATGGGAAGTTTTCGGTCAAACCTCGACAACTCTCATCAAAATTGGAAACAACTCAAAGTTGATGGTAGTCGATGAGGATTCGCGCTGAAACCCAAGCGAGAACTCTCTCGCGTTTTAGAATATTGAAAGATAATCATAGACATAGCGTGAGGCTAAAGTTGCCGTGACAAGTGCACATTAACGTGCGACCTTTGTTAGAATGCCAAGACCTTTTGATCCTATTTATAAGTGTTCACATAAAGCTCATTTAACTACATCCGTCCAGTTGCTTTTATTCAATAAACAACTTATTTAGTTCACTTTAGAAAGCTAACAAGCACAGAGTCTTATACATTTAGCATCGTACTTTCTATTGCTGTTTTAAATTCACAACGAAACCGGTCATGTGGCAGGTGGTCAATTTTTTACTGTCAATTTGCAGTCGTATTAGAATATCTGCCACAGAGCTCTTATCTTTCTCTCAAGTTCGAGAAAAAGTCACCAGAAAGCTACGAGATGAACATATTCTTCTGCCCCAAAATATACAATTTTTAAATTTTTAACATACCCCAAAAATTACTCTTGAAGAATGAAATTTAAATATAATAACGGGAAGAGAATATATACAGGTCATGATTGCGATTTCTTGTTTAAAGTAGTTTATAAATGAAAGGAATTGTGTAGAAAACCCATTGCAATAAAATGTAATCTTCAGTAGATATACCATTCATCGAAGATTGCCTTTATCGAAAGTGGCCATTTTGAAGTGGGCATTTTTTGCTGTAATTTTTCTAAGGAATTTTCTAGAGAACAATAATTACCTTTAAAGTTTTAAATGGCCAATCTACAGTTTCTTGTTTTAAAATTCAAACAGAATGGCAAAATGAGACCATGGTATTTTGCATTTTATATAAGCGCAAAATGTTGAATTTCGGTTGCTGTACAAATAGGTTATTCTAAGGTTGTGTAGTGTAACAGGATCACTGACGCCACATACTGGAATTTCAATGGAAACGCATGATTTAATGACAATGCATGATATTTGTATTCTTCTTGCTACTATGTCTGGGATTTGATATTGTTTCCAAGTGAATCATTCTGCTTCACTATACTTATATAAGTACAACTATATTTTATATATGAAATATCGCAAACATTACGTGTATACAAACATATAGCGTGCCTGAGGTCTCTGGATTACAGTGATAACAATACCTCAGGGCTTTGTATTTGTAGCTAATTCCAATTTGCTTTCAAAGCAAATATAACTATATACTATAGGCTTAATAACTCATTCTATTTCCTAAGCATTATTACAAACGGCAGTCTCTACAACAATATAGTAAATACAGAAGGCGCAACCACGAACAATTATACAATGGGCTCTTCCTAAAACAAGAACCAAGGTTCCTGAGTATTTCTTCAATTCGTAAAACCAGACAATGAATCGTCCAATAAAGAGAAATGTATGGCGAAACGCTCAATGCAAACCGCGTATGGCTATAGATGTTTATATTAAGTACCACCCACTGTGCATTGAAAACGAAGAAACATAACAATGTATCACACTATATATAGGATTACTTACATTTCTGTAACCATACTGAAGGCCATACTCTAATCTATAGTACATGGCTATTTCACTTTGTCGCTTCATACAACGTGTCTGTATTCTTAGTTCAGATGAGACTGCATTATCGAGCGCTTCCAACCTCCGGCGTTAGGCAAATGGGTTATTAATAAGCATCACAGCGGACATAATTGGCGTTAAAAGACGATCACTTTACACGCGAGACACGATATACTTTCTTTCAAATGAGGCAAGCATACATTAACTGCGCTGACAATCTAATGTATTTTCTTCACTGGTTCTGGCGTTTCCGCTTGTGTGAACGATAAATCAATATTGTAAAATCACTATGGCTCTTTGCCAACGTTCTTGCACTTTGATACTCTTCATAGATATGCAAATAAGTATGTTGTTGCCTGTTTGTTTTAACATAATTTACATGTTCAACATGTTTATTCAAGAGTACGCACGAGCGTTGTCAGGACGAGCTTGAGATGTGAAAGACGTGGAAACCACAAAATCGCGTTGGCGTTTGGAGCTTGTTTTGACGGAAAACGTTGCGAGAAAAATGCCAATGTTTTTTATCATAATCCTGTGAACGTAGAAACTAGGAAAAAAAGCTAGGACAATTCCACGTATGCTTAAATATATCGCAAATCTTCCAATCCGTTCTAAGCCCGGATCTACATCATCAGTGTAAATAATATAAAAAATCCGACGTCTCGAACGGGATTTAAACTTGCATCTAAAATATTGTGCAACAACGGGGATTGCATGTGATGATGAGTTGCATAATGTTTTTGTCTGAGGGAATGTGTATTTTTTCGTAAAACTCATTTGCTTTCTTTATGTGGAGACATCCGGTGTATACCTATTTGCGCGAATCTTCATCAGTATTCAGTATACATATAATACAATAAAACATAAATTATGAAACCTATACAAAACTTATTTTATTCTCTGCAGTTTCAAAATTAATACAAAAATATCTGTTTATTTCTCTAAGGATATTTTTGATAATTTTCACAATTTTTGAAAGGTTACCTACTCTGATACTGTATTTAACAAAAGCCGAAAAGGTGATATAAAACTGATATCGAAATTTGTAAACGGACTACAATTTTGAGATGTTTTTGCAGTCTGTGGTTAAATTTTCTTCTACATATATATTTTGACACTTTTAAAACATTCGGTTCCAGTCTTCTCGCCAGTTCCAAAATGGCCAATTTAGCTAAGGGTTTTAATGGGCGGGGAAATTTTCATAAACTAATTTTTATGGTATATATAGTGGAAACGTGGAGAATAAAATGCTATCGATTGTGTCAAATATTCTCTTTCGACGTGAAATAATCTTAAGTCTGACTTTAAAAATATGAAGTCCAATATCATCTTTTATAGTCGAAGGAATATCTCCTACAACCCATTACTATTGGGAACAAGAACCAAATTGTTTACAAATAGACCACTTTGTCTTTGAATAGACAATGTAAAATAGATTTTGTGGCATCTCTTGTAACTTATATGCATATATGGGCTAATTTCGCCCATAACTATGAAAATTTACGGCGTATCAGTCTTTTGTTCTGGAGAAAAAGTAAAATGAGTATTAATGTAATCACATCATCGTATTTCTGCTGCAGTCTACATCGTAGGCTATCACATCTCGAAATCCATAGTATATCTCAGCACAATCCATATACACTACTTGAAACAAGGTGTTTTATTTAAATGATCCATGGGCTTAAATTTTAAAATTCCTAGGCTTATACTACCCTGGATTCCAGAGCCTTCGACAGTAAATAATAAATTGAAATGTCGTGAAGGCTCTGGTTCAACGGGGCGATTCTTTGATTGAACCGCGCCAATCACAAAACAGAATTAGTGGTTTTAGTACAGAATCTGTACTAAAACCACTAATTCTGTTTTGTGATTGGCGCGGTTCAATCAAAGAATCGCCCCGTTGAACCAGAGCCTTCGCGACATTTCAATTTATTATTTACTGTCGAAGGCTCTGGAATCCAGGGTAGGCTTATACTAGATTTAATAACAAACGAGCCAGGTTAGCCTTGATAGCATTTTCTGTTGAAAAATGTTAATTAGCCTTGTTAATACATAAAATATACAAAAATGCACAATTTTGGTAGTAATTTTCGGATCGGTCCGTATTTTTTGTCGTATCGATCAAGGAGCCAAAAATTTTAAATAATTTACCAAAACTATGTTTTGTTGATGCCCAATGGATATTAGAATCCCCTTATAATGCTAATGTCTGTAGTTCTGCGTAAATTGCATGCGCAGGCATTGGATAAACACACGTAACAAGATGGAGCTAGTTTGACGTCATATACGACGCGAGAGACGAGAGTCGTAAACAACACGCTTTAAGCTGGGATCTCTGAGCTGGGATGGAGGGGAAATACAATCAGACAACTTACTGAAGTTGGATAAGCATTCTAATATAAAGATACGGAAGTCTAATACGGAAAACACGAGCGGTTAATGGTGTCTTTGACGTCATTATGACGTTATGTTGCAAAAAGGTTTTAGATTATTTAGCTTGGGTAAATACAATCAAACAAGTGAATATTGCATTTGCGGTCTGTGTCATGGAGGGCAATACGGACACAGCAAGACCTACAGGGCAACCCTGACGTCAAAAGACAAAAAAGAGACTAAATCTGATAAGTTAAATTAGGTTTGTAACTATTGGAAATCATTGAAACTGAGATTTAATCGATGATCACTGATCAGTGCTCAGTGCGTGCAATAACAATATAAGGATTAAAGGCGTTTTATACAAAGGCAAAGCAAACAAAATCCTTATATTTCTCGCCAGTGTAACATACTTACTGCATGCAGAAGAGAATAAAATAAGAAGTTCTTTTATGAATTCCTTTTTTGCACTTAAATGACTGCACAATTATTTTATTCATGTCATTTGATTTGATATCGGCCATGATGTCTGACAAATATTCACTTAGTACCGTCCAAGTGTATATTTATTTATTCAAGGAATCTTTTTGATTAAAATCCTTGAAGATTTATCAAGATAATTCTGGTAACAGCTTAAACTGACATTCCCCCGTAATGCACATAAATTATATTTGGAATGGTTGTCAACAACTGCAAGATCGCCCAGATCGAGTTCGATAGGGGGGGGGGGGGCAATTACCACAAAGCCCCCTCCTCCCACCCCCCAAAAATAAAGTGAAATATATATATATATTATTTGTTGAAGGGTATTGTATAGATAGATTAGGTCTAACAAATGTATATTTACCCACAACCTAACGTGGCAGTACCCTAGTATATATACATAAACTTGTGGTTAGAGCTCGACAACTGGATGCTGTTGCTCAGTTGGTTAGAGCTCGACAACTGGATGCTGTTGCTCAGTTGGTTAGAGCTCGACAACTGGATGCTGTTGCTCAGTTGGTTAGAGCTCGACAACTGGATGCTGTTGCTCAGTTGGTTAGAGCTCGACAACTGGATGCTGTAGCTCAGTTGGTTAGAGCGCTGCACCAGAATCGCTAGATAGATAGATAGTCTTTATTAAAAAACACTTTGCAGTTTACAGAACTGAATTGCGTGTTGCTAAAATTACAAAAAATTAGTGGCTAATACTATATATACATATGCATAGAAATGTCAAAAATTTTAGCTAAACTGAATTTTGAATACAAGCTGGGATAAACGTATTTAAGAATCTATTTGTCTTAATCTTTGGAAGTTGGAAAACGCGGCGATTTCTGAGATTATATTCCGTGGAACATCGCTCTGGCAGAAGAGGTGAAAGCTTGTGCTGAGGATTGGAACAACTTTCGACAAGCGTCCTGACGACGATCCCTAAGGGAGGTAAGGCCGCTTTTCTGCAGCCGTTCGTCGTAAGTAAAACCTGGAAAAATTATTGATGTCACTCTCCTCTGAACTCGCTCCAAGTCAGCGCTAAGGTAATCCGGTAACGCGAAGTGGAAAGCTTCGCAACCATACTCCAGAACAGGTCTTATATACATGTGCTATAGAAACTAATTATGTCCTTAAATGGTACTTTTGCTCGTTTGAGTTGTATAATAAAGAAAATGCGTTTATTTGCCTTCTTTATGATTTCAACAACGTGCTTGTTCCATTTCAATGGGCCAAGCATGTTGCTAGGCCGCAGGTTCAATTCTTGCTGCAGGGACCTAAAAAGTTGCATTTTTCATAACTGTTCCTGGTTAGGTGTAATAAAAATAAAATTTAAAATATATATTATAGATATTATTGTCAAATTAGTCTCCCAGAATGGAGGAATTTCCAATTCCTATAGAGGGAAACCCGAAATTAGCAAACTTTATATATACTGGATAGATCGATCAGTTCTGAACTGTTCTTCCAAGAGATCCAGTAAGGCTTTATCCCTTGACGCCGCGAGGACTATAAACCCCATTTAATTATACTGCATAATTCCATCAGCTCTAGACGATTTCAATGTCGAGGTCCAATATAAGTCAACCTGTATTGATCCAGCATTGCTACCGGCGGAAACTGGAATATCCTGAGAAACCGGTGTTTCGAGAATAAACGCTTCTCACATGAGAATGAAAATAAATATAATCGCGACAACTGCATTGCAGGGTCAAATCCCGTTCACAGAGATGAAAGAGATATGCACTAATCTAATGGAATCATGCCAGCATTTTAGACAAAAGAAGTTCATATATACTGTAGGAATCTCTGAAAGCTATATACAGTCTCATGGCAAACACAGTTTAAATCTATATATATCGGCATTCAAAGAATCTTTTTGATTCCAAAGTCTTCCAATACAACATAAACAGGACATTACAACAGCCAATATCAAGTGGAGTTTCCGGCGTAAATTAAATAGGCATGCTTTCCTCGCAAAGTGCTTTCGTATTTTGAACACAGCGGCATTTTCTACAGACGTATTGTACAAATAAACATTTAAATCTGTCTTCATTTTGAGAAATGGGAATTATATCTGACCAACAACTGCGAATTCACATACATACTGGTGTGTTTCACGCAGCGTACATGACAGATGGTGCTCAACTTCAATGTTGACAATGATCTAGGGGGAACTGAATTAAAATAAATCTCTTTCATTTCTTCACCACTACATATAATGAAAATTTTCTGATAATTGCACTTTGACTGCTTCACAATATAGAAACTGTCCAAATTGTCAGTCATCATTTAACGAGCTTGTTATTATTCGCACTTGCATGAGTAAACTCACTTCCCATTCATTTAGGCGTAATTATTCGCTGAAAAGTTCTTGCATTTCCAAGACCAAGGGGTTTTCTGCGGAAATGTTAGTCATAGGGTTTTAAAACCGATATACTTGCAGTTCTGGAAAGATTTCGTGCGGGATGAAAGTTATGAACTATATATAGAACTATACAGTATAGCTTTATATGGCGTCCATTAAAATACCAACGTAGATATGTTTCAGAAGTGATCTGGAGTTTATTATATAGAAGGTTTGGCTAGAAGGTTTATTTCTGTTGAAGGTATTTATTTTATCACAAATAATTACAGAGTATTTTGAGTATACAAAAAGCTTATCTTTTCGCCGGCATATAGTTCAGATAAGGCGTGGAAATTATACCTGGTGGCTGCAGAAAAATCGTCGTGTCACTGTGCACGTCTATAGTCCCCCCAGCTAGCCTGAATGTCAGACGAATAACGAATTATTTGTCTGACACTCAGGCTAATGGCATACACTCTAACTCAACTCTCAGTGATTAGCGATTTTGAAGCGATATATCCACTGTGTTAACCTATATTTCAGTATTGCATTAGCAGGTTACCCGTAAAGGAGCAACTAGCTCTGTGGGTTAAACCGGTCATGTGACAAAGATTGTAAAATAAAATAAAATAAAATAGACTCTATGATGCAGTGGGCTCCATACAATTACCTGGAGTGAACTCGAGTCAGGATTGGATGTCAGTTTCAGTCCCTTTCTCATTGTTTTTGTCTGCGCGGTCTGCAAGGAATGTTCCGAAATTTCGTTTTTGAACTCAATGTGAAGATTAATACTCTGGTTTTAAGAACTGGTAACTTGTTTAGCGATACGGTGACTTACGGTCCGTTAGAAAAAACTGGAATCAGCTGGCAAACATGGTATTAAAACTGTTTACGATCTTCATAGATTTTTAACGTCAAATTCCGCCATGCATACGGATATAGTCATATACGCCCGTATTCTAAAAACTCACTCACACTCAATGAGTGGAGGTTCAATCTGAGCTTTTCTTGAGTGTCAATGCTGTTTTTGAATAGCTGGAGGGCGAGTAGTCACATAGTAAGGTACTACACTAACCCTCCAGCTATTCAAAAACAGCATTGAACTCAGAGAGCTCTGATTGAACCTCCACTCATTGAGTGTGAGTGAGCTTTTAGAATACGAGCGATAGACTTTATTTTAACAGGCTAGCCTCAACTATGTATATCAGCAGGTTTCCATGAGGGGCGTGTAAATGAGTGAAAATGTCCAATACAAAACATGGTAGGAACACTACAAGGGTATACTCTCTACATGATACTTAGGCATACTTGGTGTGGGGGCCCCTGTTGACTGTTGAGCTCATTGCTATGACGTAGAGTAGTTGGAGTATACTTTTGTCCAGGGCCGCCGAGAGCTTGGCGGGGGCCCAGGGAAAATTTTTTTAGGGGCCCCTATTTCAAACCAAATATCTTGCCCTTTGCGCGGAAATATTTCACCCAAAAAGATGACTAGGTCCCAACAAAAAATTTCTAGGGGTCCCCAGAACCTGAGGGCCTGGGGCAATCCCCCCCCCCCCCCTCTCGGCGGCCCTGCTTTTGTCTAAACTGCATGATGACAAGGTGGTTTAGTGGCTGTCCCCTGCAATATACGCAGTTGTAAGAATGTTTGCAGTTTGGCTCGGCAACGACGTGTACCCCCTTGTAGAAACAATTAGGAATTTATTGGCTCTTGGGAAAACCCGCGCCGGTTTCTTACAAACAGACCATCGGGCTGGCGGCTTCCAGGACGCCGCCGACAGACGGCGATAACATCAGAAACGTTTCATTTCTCTGCAATATATTTCTTTTGAACGCTAATCATCGGCGCCATGACAATATATGTACACTTTATTTTTTACAGAAATTTCAAGGATTTTCTATTTCTTATTAAGGACTTCCTGCGTTTAACTAATATTAATACCAACAAGGGTTAGAGTTCCGAACAATAAAACCTCATCATGAAACAGAACATTTCCTCAAATTGGCCAAAAGAGTTACACATTTTCTCTTGTATACATAAAGTAACTAAATAACTGAACTCTGTATGAAAACTGGACTATGAAGCTAAGCGTAAACTATTTTCTCGAAGTATATACAAGAAATATCTTAACAATTTGTATTCTGTCGAGAGAGATACAATGTCCTGTCAAAAATATTAGCTGATATAGACTGGGTTGGCCAAAATAAACAATAATTTACCCATATCTAACATCTGCCATGGTTTAATATTGTGGCTTGGGCAGCTGGAGTGCTCAATGGTCAGAATGCATTGAAATCATCTGAAATGGCAGGGCCATGGCTTTCATTCCTGCCTGACGCCTACTGTTGCATCTTTCGAGAAAATTGCGCAAAATGTAAAACAAATTACCCTTACCCTGCTACGGCATGCCCCCAATATATATTATATAGATGAACTTGTGGTCAGGTCTTGGCAGCTGTTCTCAGTAGCCCAGTGGTCAGAATCCACCGAAATACCAGGGTCGTAGGTTTGATTCCCGCCTGAGGCCATTAGAGTCGCACACATTGCAATAACTTCCTCAGCCTTCCTTGAAGATTTTGAGGATTTTTGAAAAACCTTCAATAAAATAAAGCGACTGCCACGCACGCTATAACTTCCTATAGTAATAGTAATACTTTATGGAGTATGTAGGGTGTATTTATATAACTGAGAATCCCTTATAGCTGTTTATACTAAAAAAAATCCATCGTTTTCTATCTTAATTTTCTATATCTATTAATTTTCTATATCAATTTTTCTAGCCCTAGCCGGCTGCGCAACTTCGAGTCCAAAGAATTTAAAATTTGATCAAGATTTTTGCGCACGACTTTGTCTTGCAATACCCCACATCTTTAGTTCACATTTGAACGCAACACTTACCAAAAGCTGACGAAAGCTCCAGTAGAAATCCATCCAGTAAGCGAAATGACGCCGAGACAATCTAACACAAATTCTTGATAATATCTATCCGAGCTGTCACAGACAATATGTTACACTCGAAGTCTGGGAAGAGCAAACAACCACGAAAAGATAATCAAATATATATTTTGACAGCTTCATTGTGAAAATCCACAGATACATAGGAATGAAGACTGGACATTGGAGTGAATTTCATGCATCAAACGATCCCCACATATAGCCACAAGAGCGCCAGACATAGAAAAAATCCGTAATCAAAATTTGTCTGGTTTCGCAAATTGAAGGAAATGCAAATCATTCCCTTGTCGACTGATAAGGCCAAAATAAGCTACAATCAAGTTCAAGACTTGTAAATTTACATGGTTTTTTCATTAAAAATTTATGCAACTCGTATTAACGAATATTCGAGAGCAGTCACAACATCAAACGACGTTATCTTTCGTTAGGTTTACCATAAATCATCTATTACGCGTTAATAACCCAATATTTTTAGAGGACGAAATCTATTGAGCTCCCTCTCTGCTAAGCCCCCCCCCCTCTCTGTTAAGCCCCCACCTCCTCGACACCAAAGAACCACAGGAGTAATGATTAAATTTATTATTTCTTGCCGGTTCGTGTTAAATATATATATGCATGTTGTCGTAAATCATCTATTACAGCAAGCTTTCACTTTTAAGAAGAAATTTTCCAAGGCTCCTTTCCATT